TGATTCCTGTTCATTGTGAACCTAAGTTGTTTTAGTGTTACTCTTGATTGCTGTTAATATTGTATCTCCCCTTAGCATGTCTCCCCTCCCATGTTGTTAATTACTTGGTATTCGATTTCCGCTGTATATTTATAACTGCACAGGTTTATGTGATGTCCAGTCTAGCCTCGTCACTACTTCGCCGGGGTTAGGCTAGACACTTACCAGCACATGGGATCGGTTGTGCTGATGCTACACTTCTGTGCATTTTTGCACAGGTCCAGGTTTTGAGGAGCAGCAGCAGTAGTAGTACGGGAGCAGGCTTTCATTATCACGAGACTGAGGTAGCCTTGCAGGCGTCCGCAGGCCCGGCGTCTCTTCTTTATGTTTTCCTTTTTGACTGTTGCCTCATTGTTTTCGAGACAGACAGCTGTTATATTTCTTTCAGACCTTTGTATTTAGTTTATTCTTAGTGGTTCGTGAGTAATGTGACACCAAATCTTGGGTAGAGGTTATTTTTGACTATTCCGCGTTTTAAATTCATCATTTTAAGACAGACTTCCGTTATTGTTCTTATTAGACTTTATGTTCTATATTGATGTTATAAACTGTTAAAGATAATTGCTAGTGATGGAAAGGTAATTAAGTTGGCTTGCCTAGCTACCACGAGTAGGCGCCATCACGACTCTGATGGTGGGAAATCCGGGTCGTGACATATCTACTAATACAAGTGTTGCAACGCTTGATTGACTCGGACATCAGATATGGCATGTCGCATATGATTCTTTTCAAAACAGAATTTAATGAGTTTGCATTATATGTTATAGCAAACTTTAGCGTTTGTCACAATGCATACAAGTTCATAACCAAAAAATTAATTTAGCCCTCACATATACTTACAATACAACCTTTGCTTAAACATGTGATCCACTTTTAACAATATATGTCTTTCTTCTGCGGCCATATAACAAATTGATAACTAAGGTTGATGTGGATGACACTGAATTATTTGGTACATATACCGTTTACCTAAAATTTCTAATAATTATTTTTTCTGCCTATCATTTAAATATCTTATTAATATTTACATTCAATTAGCGAAATTGTCATGTTGGAGTTAATTACCTACAAAAAGAAATGGAGCAATTGTTATTATCTTGGCAGAGAACTTCGACTTAAAGAGGCAACAATCAACTTACACAGCATGGAACCAATGGAAATTGAGCCATTTTTCCACCCACTTTTGTTAACTTAGCATCCTCATCAAAGGCCCGAATCTTAAACAACAGATCCAGATTTTTAATTATCGCTTCAGTTGTTGCAGTATATTTGAAGTGAAAGTTCATCAAATCTTAACTCACAATTCTGTTGAGTAATACCACAACATTTCCAAGGTAAATCATTTGTATTTCTGGAACTGTGTAATCTTCCTAATCTTTCATGTATCTATGCGGAGTCTATAACCTCAATTACTTCGCAGGAGCTGGTCGTCCTGCTTGACCAGCACGTTCGTTGGCACATGTCTTCTACATGGTAGCGACCACCAAAAACTCAGTTCCTGTCCGAGGTTTGTAATACTTGATCTTAACATAATAAAATTTTAAAGATTAAGAATATTGCTAGAAATCACCAAGTTTAATTTTACTGTTTTCTCTTTACTGTATGGTTATATTGAACTAAACAATATCATTTTTTTATTCCAGTAAAGTTTTGGCAGTAATCGTCAACTTATTTTAATTTACTTAACATCCAAAGTACAAAAGGAGCATCAACAACAGAAGCTATCACACTACAAAGAGTGACTATGAGTATGTAAAGAAATATCAACTGAACCTTCTTCTCCTTTGTTTGCTTTTTAGAAAGTAAATTGAAATACAAGTTTACTACTGAAGGTCAATTTATTTTTTTTAAACAATTTGTAGGTCTGTAATAAAGATAAGGAGTTGATCTTTATTGCTAACAGAGCAGCCAAGATAGGTACATGTATTGCCGCTACAGTTTTACAAGAAGATTCGAATGCACTGATTTCTGGAAATAATATCGACGGAATGTATATAAAGAAGAAAACAACATTTGATCTTTGCATATGTAACAATTAGCGAAAAAAATCATGCTGTTATAACTTATTTAGTAGTTTATTAGTTATGAACAACATATTTGTATCATTTCATGTTTTCCCTTCTACCAAACTTTGCGATTTAGTTTGTATTTACTTCGACACCAATACATAATCAATTGTATTGAAAAAATTTGTCGAATACGAACATATCACACTACCATTTCCATCTGTTT